GGATCCCTTGAAGCTGGGGTAGTTGTTTGGCACATGTGTCCTCTGCAAAGGCATTTTGTAGTCTTAACCACTGAGCCATCCCTCCAGCTCTCTCCAGCCCCTTATTACATGACCCTTTAAAGACTAAATTCTGAAGAGAGCTCAGGAAGAAGACTTCAGTGAGGCTTGGGGGTCTCAGCCTCCAGCTGCAACCGGGGTCATGCTCAGTTCTTGTGTGACACCCTAAACCCTTCTCCAGACTGATCCCCACACACTGAGAAATGTCCTGTCCCTTCTACTGCAAGATGATCCAACATCGTATTGCCAAGGTTCAGGTGATGCAAAGCACACCAGCAGGGCTTACATGAGCAGGGGTGAGATGCACAGGGCCTCACAGGAAGCTCAGCGGCACGAAGAGGTGCAGGACCCCCGACAATCATGGGGTGGGGTGCAGACCTGGGGTAAGAAGCATGAAGCCTGCATGCTCCATGGTGTCCTACCCATGCTGCTTTTAGTCAATGTCATATATGTATACTCTGTGTACACACATACTGTTGTTTACCCAGAACTGTGGTAGAATCAAACAGACATTGAGCTGGCCTTGGTGGCACATACATCTAGGCAAGTGCTGAAGAAAACAAGTATGGAGAATTGCAAGTTCAAGGTTAGTGTGCCTAGCACATATGAAGCCCTAGATTTAATTCCCATAATCACAAGAGAAAGAAATAGACATTGACCTAATCTTGACCCAGGTGATTATGAGCAAATAGGGAGAGAAGACATTTGTATAATTAGCTATGAATCCAAGACCCTGAGTGAACCAGCTTCCCTGAATCTCTGCTTGGCCTGTCCATCCCTGCACAAACTCTCTCCTTTGCCTGGAATGCTATCTTGGGTGTGGTCGTTGGCATAGGAAGTTGAACAATGCTCCTCCCCAGCGGTGTCTACATCCCAATCCTCAGAATGTCACCATCCATAGTAAAGGGGACCCTGCGTATGACTAAAGTAAGGATTCCGTGTGTGGGGATGGGCCTGAATTGCTTGGGTGAGCCCAGTGCCAAACAAAGGCCCCTGTAAGATAGAAAGACAGGAAGAAAACCTTCCCAAGAAAGGCTTCTGTAAATTATTATCAAGGTTAGATGGCAGGTGTGAATATCAATATCCAGTTAGATTCCATCCTGGGACTGACCTAAAGCACGGGCATCCAGTAGGTTTGTACTGACTGAGAAAACTTAGCACTGTGTCCAGCATCAAGAGCACTGGCTGCCAGGCCCCAGTCATTTTCAGGAACCTACTTTAGCCCCTGTTCTCCCTGAAGGGACCTTCCTGACTGGTGTTACCTACAGACCACAAGGTCTGCCACTGCCTGAGCTCCCTGGGGGACAGATCTGAGCTAGACACTGGCAAATGAAACATTCATTCGTGGATATTCTCAGTATCAACAGGGACTGAGAAAATGGAGAGGAAGGCTGAGCGTTGACTCCATTCTCAACAGAAGCCTCATTTGGCTCTGCGGCCAACCTGTAGGGAGCTGAGCAGAGTCCTGGGTCAATCCATCAGTCAGGGACACAAAGCACCTCTAGGCCAGTGTCACCTTGAATGGAATTGCTGAAGCCTGTGTCTGTTGTGCTTTCTCAGGCTTAGGGGAGCAAGATGCTGTTCATTGCAGAGTCTTTCAGAGGCTGTTTTCAATATGCCATTTGCCTTCAAGGGCCAACATTCACACAATAGGGAGCTTCAGTAAGTATGCTGGGCTCCCCTGGGAGCAACAACTGAGGGAGGAGACACCAGCCACCACTGTGACTCCCAGGCTAGCCTTTTCCATGAGGATAGCTCTTTACCGGCACTTAACATTCTCTTTGGAGTTGTGACTGGACTCACAGAGACAGGAGTTACAGGGATCATTTCCATTTGGTCAGAGGTGATGGCATCTTAGGGGAAATTGTGAAGTGGCCCTTCACTGTCCCCACAAGCACCTTAGGCTCTGCCTGGAAACCAAGGATTCGGATGGTGGAGTGATGAGGCCAGAAATCTCTGATGGCCATTGCCATGGAAACAGCACTCTTCCTCGCACAAGAACAGAATGAACAGTGGCAGAGAACTAGGGTGTGGGTCTCTGCTGCTTGAATCAGAAGAAACCGAGCTTGCCACAGCCCCTCCTCCTCCCAGATTTAGTCTAGTTGGGCCCAGACTAAAAGTCGGTATCTTTCTCTCACACAGGCAGTTGCTGTGATGTGAGCTTGCCATGAGTGTTTTATTTGATCTGATTTCCTACATGAGCGTGGTTTGGAGTTTTCTTTTTCCAAACGTTTTTTTTTTTTTTTCCTGAATTTCTCAGTGGGAATTTAGCAGATGAGGAGAGAGGGATGTGGAAACATGGAGATGAGCTTTTTCACTTGCCAGGTCCTTTCCTTGACCTCATAGAAAACACACAGACTCGTGCATTGCCTTACATTTTGGTTTGGGGTGTAATGTCTGTCTACACCGCCACTCCATCACTGGCTGCTGACAAAGCACTAAGCAACTAGAGAAACCTACTGTCCAAGCTCTGCAGGAAGCAGAGATTACAGGTATTGGGACAGAAGGGAAAGGTGGGAAAAGCACGGTGTCAGCAGAACAAGGATCAAGAGGAGCGAGCAGGTGGTGCAACTTGCTTTAAGTTGGGGAGGGGCTGCCCCATGCACTCTGCCCTGGAGATGTGGCCCCCACATCTGTCCTCTTCCTAGCAATACTCCAGGGGTACTTAAGTGGAAGAAGTTTAGGCTAGAGCTAAGAGTCCCAGGTTCAAATCCTGGTGACAACTGCTCTTCTCTGAGCTCCGTTTTACTTTCCTATGGAGAAAGGTTAACACCATCCAATTCTTTGGGGTGCTGTAGGGACAGAGAAGGAGCCGGGAGTTGGGATGCTCCCCAGGATTTTTTGTGAAGAGGGACACTGATATGGTTTGAATTTGAAAACAGGTCCCTGTATTCGGCATTCGGCTTTCTCATACAAGGGTCCACAAGGACAGAAGATGCACGGATAAGGTAATGGGCATGGCACTACTTCTGGGAGGTCATCGCCACCTGCAAGGAAGTATCAGGCTGTGTATGGAGGTGGAGGCGTGGCTCTCATGCTCTCCCACAGTTCAGGATTTACTGGAAAGCTTATGCCTAAAGCCTTGTGTTTATCGCATGCCTAGAAAAGGGGCTGATCCTTTTAGGTCTTTGCCACAGGGCATAGACAAATCCTGAACAAAAGTATTCCGAGCAAGCTCTAATTATGTCCTGTTGATTCGAAAATTCTAGAAAGACGGGGAAATGCTAGAAAGATACAGAAAGGCAGAGAGAGAGAGAGAGAGAGAGAGAGAGACAGATATTCAGAGGAGAGGAGAG